AATTCTAAAAGATGGACTAATAAACAACACTTATTTCAAACAAGTACTTCTAAAACTCAATATAATTTGTATATTTAACAAAAAAAAAACAGGATATCATATAACTAATTAATTAATACTTCCTCCGTTCCTTTTTAATTGCAACAGTCAACATTTCACGTTTGCCAACGCACAAGTTTGACCATTAATATCTTTCATTCTCTATTAGTAAAAATTTAAAAAAAAAATCATATTTTGAAAATTTAGAATGAGAAGAATTTAACAATATTTTTTAAAAATTTAATTTATAATACATTATTTAATAAAATATAGTCAAAGTAAAATATGTGAATAGTGCAAAAAAAACCAATGTTGCAATTAAAAAAGAACAGAGGTAGTATAAGAAAATTAGAAATAGTAAAAGTGAGAGTTCTAACCTCACATCCGGTGTGTGGAATGATGTGTCACTCTTTTGTGGTGTATATGTACTTCTAATTTTATGACAGATTTTAGTGGCGGAAAAATCCGTCACTAACATCCGGCACTAATTAGTGGCTGAATAATTCTGCCACACAATCCGTTACAAATTAGTGGCAACCAGTGTCCGCTGCAAATTACTGGCTGATTAACTTCCACCATTAAGTTCTGACACTGATTGTTGTCGGATGTGTCAACCGACCCTAAAATCCGACACTAATTTACGGATTTCTTGTAGTGATGGTTTTGTCTGGTCCGAAGTCGAATAATTGTGCAAAATGTTTGCACAAGTCCGAAGTCGAATGATTGAAAGCCCGGGAAGTCGAATAATCTAAATGGGTCGTATTTTTGTCCAGAGAAAGTTGTGGAGTAATATTCATGTCATTTATACCTCCCTTAGTGAGGGAAGTATAAATAAATAGTATTCCCTCGCAATTTTATGTTTGACGCTGTCAAACGGACTATCACTCCTGATCGTACTCAACTTGTGGTGAGGTTATGCTTTTCATGACTTATATCGGTATAAGTGCATAATGGTGGATTATATCTTCTATTATATGGATTTCAAATGCTGCCATGTAGATCGTTGTAAAAAATGTACATGAAAAAAGACATTAGAAATAATTACCCTAAAGTACATATGTGGTCTGGTTCCAGTGGGAACACTTATTGAACTAGCACTCCCGATCGTTGAAAACTTATATATTCGTAAGAAATAAGAATGATTTGAAATGATGTACATTATATTAATGGAGGCACACACTTATAATTTAAATAACTCACAATATGAAAGGGGCAGAAAAGGTTGAATTTATTTACAAAAATGTCATCACATTTTCTGATTTATGTAATGCACTTTTCAATTTCACAGAATACATACAATAAAAAAATCACATAATACATAATTCTCAAATCTAAAACTACATGTTCATTTTCATTTTTCTCCACTCATTGTCATTTGTTCTAAATTCTCTCTTTATATAAGAACTCAATTACTAAGTACATAATACTTGATAAGTTTAATCAAAACGTTATTAAATCAATCTTATACTTAAATTTGATAACTATTAAATGGATTATAGAAAAACCACTCATTATACACAAATAAAGATACAATTAGATCTATTGAGTAAATATTTGTAAATAATGACTACTAATTGTTAAAAAATATTTTCAACTATAACATAAAAATATATTGGAGTCATTTATTTGAATAATTATTATAGAAATTATAGTTCAACAAATTGATTGTAACATAATAATTAAATATATAACTGAAAATGGTTTTGGTAGTAGACGATCAACATTGAAAATAGAGAACGTCAAAATTAGATGTTTGTATATTGACGAACTCACTTAACCTATAACCCGTGCAAATTGACACACAAAATCGGTGAGTTCATTGAGTTAAACAATGACAAGTTTGACTCATCATGAAATATGATGAAATGGGCATTCCCTACAAACTCTGACTCATTTTGTCAGCTCTATCCATAGTCAATTGAATTCTATTTTAAATTTCAATTGACGGATTCACATACAATTCACATTCTCTACGAACAATGACATGTATTTTACCGTGCAATGCACGGGCACACATACTAGTATTATTATAATAAATAAAGGTAAAAGAAATATTAATGATTACTCGCAAAGAGTTCAAACCGGGGTAACAATGCAATTCATATATTAAAAAGTCCATCTTCGAGTTTCAAATTGAGATCGACATAGCTACACAAAAAACTATTGTGCAAAAAAAGACCCGTTGAGCACCTAACGTATATTCTCTCTGTCTCGTTAAAAGGTTCTCACTTTCATTATTTGAGTGTCACATTTCAAGGTTCTCATTCTATTTTAGAAAATAATTTACTCTCTTTAAACACACCTTTATCAAATTTCTCTTTTCTACTAATTATTACACGTAGGGTTGGACCCGATCGGCGGTCCTGGACCGGACAAGAACCGCTACTGCGCAGGACCGAAACGGTACCGATTATCCGGTCCCGGGCTTGGACCGGTGACCCGACCGAGTATTTTTCGTTCTCAGGCACGGACTGAGGTTTCGGGGACCGGATCGGGCAATCCCGGTCCCAACAATAATTTTTTTTAATTAAGGGCGGTGGAGGGGGTTGGGGGGAAACTAGTCGCTTGAAACGGCTAATAACGGCTATTATTTTATTTGGGTATTACTACACATTGGATTGATGATGATTGACAAATGCATAAACGAGTTATCGCTTTTCGAGATTTTAATGAATGAAACACCAGTGATAATATCTACTCCGTATATTCTAATGGAACGCATTTTATTTGAATATAGTTTGATTGATAAGGTGTTTGCTATTGGCTTTGATAATGCTACTAATAAACTGTTGTTATACCTAGATTGTGTGAATTATGTGTTCTTTCTACTTTGATGGGTAGATTTTTTATCAGCGTTGTGCATGTAATATTATTAATTAATGTGTGAAAGACGGCTTAGCCGCATTAGAAAATGTGATGGACAAAGTTAAGGGGGCTATTAAATTGATTTGGATAGTAATCCACTGCAAATGCAATATCGTGCTTATTTGAGGTCCAAAGGTGTAATGTATTGTGCTTTTCCTATAGATTTTTCTATCCGTTAGAATAGCACTTATAATTTAATTGTTGTGCTTCTTAGATTTAAAGATCATTTCCCTACTTTTATGAAAGAAATTTGTAATTATATTATAGAACCGGTTGAGATCGACACAATGGAGAAGATTTGCAACGTTTTAGTTTATTTTAACAACACTACTCAAACTTTTTCCAATGTGTATACAATAACTAGTATCCAATTTTTTTATAGAAGTTGTTATTCTAGTCGGTGCTTTTGAAGAATCTTCTCAATCTACTTATGTAGTTATGTTCATTATTTTTGTGATTACATGAAAGAAAAGTTTTTAAAATATTTTGCCTACATTCCGCCTATATATTTTATTGTTTTCTGTCTTAAACCTACTCTCAAACTTTCAAATTATCAAACATTTTTAGAGTACCATTATACTGCTTTCTACGGCCCGTTACCTATGTACGATGAAATATATACGACAGAAAACAATAAAATATATAGGCGGAATGTAGGCAAAATATTTTAAAAACTTTTCTTTCATGTAATCACAAAAATAATGAACATAACTACATAAGTAGATTGAGAAGATTCTTCAAATATGGTAGCGTGTCCGCTCCCCTGACACCGAGTGCTTCTTCATCTAAAGGAAAAGGTTTGTTTAAATCAACAATATCTAGTCTTTTGAAAAAAAGTAAATCAACTTCTACTGTTGCACAAAGCTCGATTAACGAGTTGTCTTTATATCTAACATTTCTTGATGAGTAATGAAGCTGACGACTTTGATATTCTCCAATGGTAGAAGAGCCACTAAGGGATGCTTTCATGATTGGTTGAAGGTTCGCCGTCGAGCTCAAGTAGTCAACATAGCACTGGATCATCATTTCATGGAGGAAACGACAACTGATGCCAGAAGCAACTCGGATGATTAGTCCACGTAATTAGATTTTCAACTTTAAACTATTCTCAATTGTAAATTTTAAATGTGTTATTGATAAATATACACAACTCAAGTGATTTGTAGCTTAATGATTACTTTAAAAAAAGTTTAAAGGTCCCTAACCAGCCTAGGACCGGATCATAGATGTCTGGGTCGGTTTTGGTCTCTTTATTTAAAAACCGGAACCGGACCCAACCAGTCCGGAACCGGAACCGGATCGGGTCCATCCCTAATTACACGTCAAGTCTCACAATCTCCTCTCCCCGTCCATTTAATTATTGTCACTTTATAAGTTTACTTTTTCTAGGTTTTCTTTTTCCTCTTTTTTTACCCAAATTACTTTATTTAACCACTTGCCTAAAAAATCGTGTCATTTACTCACGGGGACCTTCCAACCGGACAGAGGGAGTAAGTTATAATTTTCTTTTGAAAGGGGAGTAAGTTATAATAAAGTTCGAAGATAGCAAAAAAAAATAAAAACAAACTAAACAAACTAATTACATATAAATATACCCGAATGAAATTCATGGGTCTCTTTGTATGTATTTGTATTGTCATAAACAAAAGAGGACACCCTCCCTCTCCAATGATCAACATCTTTTTCATATTGTGCTTCGCAAATTTTAACAATACTACAAAACTAACAAAAGTGGTCTCCCTCCCTTTACAATGATCCAAATCTTTTGTATATTGTGCTTTGCAACTTAAATACGTAATATGGAGTAATACTTTTTGTTTAATTCCAGTGATATTAATAAAAGTTAGCTATAGGCATTTCTTGTGGAGCTAGTAGTTGTTCAATTGCGTGATTTGCGTCTGGTCACTGTATTTTTTTAATCTGATTACATTTTTCTTTCTACTTTACTGCCTCCATTTCAAAATATATATACATGTAGTTGTTACTTGTTATTCTTTCTATGTTAATCAAAACCACATAATATTACCCTTAAAAAATTGTAATGGGTCATTTATTTCATTTTTGATAACTTCTACATTTTCTTATCAGACTTTCTGTTTTTATATGCATAAAAAAAAACTCTGTTTTTATATATGTCGATGCATTATGTCATACTCATAAATAAACTTTTACACTTCACTAACACAGTTCTTTTTGTCTCCGTGAAGATCGTATAGATGAGAAGCAAAAGACTAAAACGCGCGGGAAGGAAATTAATAACTTAGATGGTCGAGCCATCGATCTAATAACTCGTGGCTATTATGTACAACAATATCACAGGAATTGAGACCAAATGCACCTCCTTGAATTAATATACAGACTTGCGACCATCATAATCAATCATTAACTGGTGCTGCCTGAGAGCTCTCCTGAAATTCCACTCCCATACGACACAGAACCTGTGGTGTGTGAACTGGCTCCGGACGCAAGCATAGATTTTTGTAATTGTCGGATCCTGAAAAAGTCTCTCGGTACCGGCTGCGTGCTCTGCACACTCCCAGTGTCATCGTCGTCTTTCCCTGCCACACCAAACCAACCCGTCATTCACACTAATGTCATCCGCACGAATTTCAAAGAAATGCATATGACTTGTTCATTTGGAAGAATTTTAAGTCTGATAAGGTTTGATGAGATTTAACATTATGTAATCTATCCTAGAAAGGAAGGTAGACATACTACTGTCCATGTCTTTCCTCTTTCCTGGCCGTCTATCTCTTGTTTGGTACTTGTTTGAGGAATCAGAGCGGTCACTCATAGATGGAATGCTAGGAATATTGCTTTGCAAGCATATCGATATCACAAAATCAGCATCAGGAGATGGACCTACACACCAACCAACAATCAGATTACTATCATCATTCATCAACCAACGGTATATGATGTATATCACGTGCATCAGTTGGTGGTAACCATTGTCGGCATAATTTATTTACAACTTTGTTATTGGTATATATGTGGTTAACGCTCGTTGTTTAACATAATTGATATATATATTTTTTAAAATAAACTCTGCATTTTGAGGTAAATAACACATACTTCGTATATAGTTAAATGGGAAAGGCGAAATGGAATTCTTTTTTTTTACTCACATACCCTCAACAGCTGGCAAGTTTGATGCAAATGCTGCCAATGCAGGGGGCAATGATTTCAGAAGATCATCTATTGCATTTGGTGGCCCGTTACTGCTTAATGGAATTGGACCAGAATAAGGTAAAGTTCCTGAAATTGGAAACTAGTGTATGTCGATATGATCTGAAACATCCAGCCCGAGAGGAGAAAACACAGCAAAATCTTCCAAACCCCAAACTTCTTTCTTAATTAAACCCAGCAAACAAGTAATCATATGGTAAATTCCGTGAAAATAAAAGGTAACGGACATTAACTAATACTTTTATAAAATGCGTAATTACATACTACCTCCATTCTTTTTTTAATTGCAACACTTCCATGTTCACCGTCACCAGCGAATAACTTTGACCATGAATATGTTTAATTTACTATCAGTACAAAAACTCAAATTATGAAAATTCTAAATGAGACAAATTTAACAACAAAAAACTCATATATTGATAAATAAAATGTAGTCATAGACTCATAGCACAGTATGTGAATAGTGTAAAATTCAAAATGTTGAAATTATTTAGGAACAGAGGTAATATTAGGAGGGTGCCAAGTTTGAAATGCAAAATAGTAGAAGAGAAGGTCAATTGTCTCCTAAACAACCATCCATCAGAATGTTTTAAGTTCAACCCACTTTTACCTTTCAGGTAGAAAACACATCTATTGACAAAGAAAATGGGAGAAATTGAGAATGTAGATGGAAAGAGAGAAAAGTAATTCCACTATTAAGAAAGCACAGTAATCTACTATGGAGTTCTATAGAAAGAAAGGTTGCATTTTTCTTTTCTTCTATGCTTTGAAAGAAAGATTGCATGCTTATATATTAAGATATTAGCATAAATACCTGATAATTGATTTGGATTGTAAATGGCCATTCTAGAAGTGTCTGGATACACAAACTTGGCTAAATTTATGTCGTGCATTCTCCCATCTACATAGAGAATATGAATTACATGAAATCACAATACAAGTCTCACTGCAAATGGTATTGGATTAGCAACAGATATGTGTAGAACCTGTCTCGACAACAGGAGTGGATTTCTCAATCTTATTCATGTTCCTTACAAGTATCTAAACAATAGTGAACTGTAAGAGCATATCTTAAGAAAAAGAAAATATGAATAAATGTGTCTCTATAAACATTCTGAAGGTACCTCTTGCTGTGAAAGATAATCCAGGGTCTTTGAAGAGCAAGGCCACAGATCCTTAAAACTATACCGTGACACTATATCTTGCAATGAGCTCTCTAAGATAGATTCTTCCCCATCACCGATCCTAGAAAGGGCGTCTTTTCTTCTTTCATCAACCTGTACATAAAAGTAATCATAAACTATGATAGGTTGATTAGCTTTTTAAAAATTTCAGAGGAATATAGACAGAACCATGCCACTCAAAAAGCATGGCATGCAATAAGGCATACTAAATAAACTCATAGTTGGCACTGAAACATTTCAAAAGTTGGGAATAAAATATAAAAATAGACGCACACATGGAAAGCTAATATTGAGTAAATAAGGTATGTATTGCCTAATATAGAAATGTGTAGCTACCTTCAACAGGATACACATGAAAAGCTATAAGGCCTATAATATCGAGTAAATAAGGTACATATTACATGAAATAGAAACGTGGAGCTACTACCTTCAACATGCTGGTAAGATCGCCATACGTCTGCTCAAACTGGGTGAATCTTTTCCAAACCTATTCAGAAAGGGAAAATAGTGACAAAAACAACACCTCATATGAATAGTTTAGATTGATGCATAAAATTAAAAGTTTAAAATTATGAAAAACCCCTCCTGATGATTATAAATGCCAATGATAATCAACATGACACATTAACCCATCTTGCTTCTAATTCATCCAATGGGGAGCCTATTGATAAAAACAACTAGTGCCAAATATTACTGTATTATTTTATAAACTATAAAATCACCAGTCAAAGGCACCAAGGTCATAATTCTTCAAAAACTACACAGTAACGAAGCATGAAGTACTACACCTCAAGAGATGCATCTGATGGTAGAGAGCTCAATGCACGTTCAAATAAGGCCCTTATGTTAATGTCATCATTCAAGCAACATAAGAAATCTGCATACCTGCCACCACTAAATTAGCACAAGGCAACAGTGGCACACTCCTCCAGGAGTTTCTAGATTATACTATTAGTCTATTATGATAGTCAGCATAATATCACATTGAATTTCACATTTATGGGCTGCTTCTATTTTGTTTGCTTTGTTTCCGTATCGCTTATCTGGTTGCTGCTGTTGACGATGATGTTCATTTTATTTATTTATTTTTTGTGTAAACATCCGGAAACTCAACTTCTGAATCATTGCATGAACAGAAGTCATACAATATATCTGGATAGGTTTAAAGAAAAGAGTGGAAAAAATCACCAACATATCCTTTTCTTAAAACTGCATATGAAATTTTGATGTCAAAAGGAAATGAAACTCACTCAAGAATGTAATCAGGTTCATGCATGAAGTGTTTCAACCCTGCTTCAAACACATTGCGTGCTACCTGCGTAAATACACTATGGAACTTGACATAAACAACAACAACATCCAAGCCTTATTCCCAAAAGATAAAGGGACTTCAAAACATCAAATCTTCAGTTATTTAATTATAGTTTAAGCTGATATGATAAAGCAGTGGTTCATAGACAAAGTGAATAACTTTAACCTAAACTAATGGAAAGTAAGCTGATCGGAAACCTTCAGCAGTCTGCAGCTTCATATTACTGATTGAGAGTTGAGACATCCAAAACATAAAACACCAAAGAAAGTTCTGTGTTTTGTTTGAAGCTCAATCAGACACAAAAGATCTAAGAATCTGGGACCATTAGTTACCTTAGCATCCTTGTTGAGACAGAACTCCATCTTTGCTTGAGCTACATAAACATGATATGTGCAATTTGGGAATTTACGGGCATCAAGAAAGTACTTGCGAGCTGCTTCAACTCCTTCCGTCCTTCTTAAGAACCGCATAAACTGCACTATGCATACATGTAAACTTGATGTGTAATAAAGGTAAACTTGCTACATTGAAGTGAAAGTGTAAAGCAAATTATCGATTTTTCACATGAATCAACTCAGTAACATGTTAAATTTCGTGATGCAAAATGTAAATGATTTCAAATCATCCTAAATTCGATAATAATAATATACTCCCTCCGTCCCCCTGTTATTGTCCCATTGCGATTTACGATGCTTGACCGACGATAAAGCAAACAGATCCCTGTCCGCACTCAAATTATTTTTAGGAAAAAAAATTACATATTTGGAAACTACATTAAAAGATTTACAAAGTCGCAAAAACCAGAATCAAATTTGATAAAAATTTGATACATAAAGTAAGAGATTAAGAGTGATTTGTGTTGACCAAGTGAATAGGAAATGGGACAATAATAGGGGGACGGAGGGAGTATACATATTATCTCATAGGGCATAATCTACACTTCATTATATTATGGCCTTATGGGTATTGACCATATTGTCATCCAGCACAACCCATACTACAAAAATGCAGACATTAACTGAAGTTTTATGCACAAAATATAGAATTAGAAAAATATTAAATATTGTTCTTAATTTATATGAGAAATTATATATGGATAGACATTATTATTAATATCTGGAAAACTTCCCATACCAGATTGATGAGGCAACAATCGAGTTGCTTCATCGCTTTAAGCAAGGAAGGATTTGCTTTTAAACAGTCTGAGTTGTGAAGAAAATTGACTTCACACTCCCTCCGTCCCAAAAGAGTCATGTTTGCTCAAGGTGCAATTGTTTTAAATTTTGTCAAATACAACTCCTAAAAGTTATGGAATCCTGATTAATTTTTTTTACTCTTGACTAAGGTTTCACATTGAACTACTTTGTTCTATTGTTTTTTGGTATCTTTTTAATATATTTTTTAATAAGACTCTTTTGGGATGGAGGGGGTATTATACTCAATACACTTTGTGACTTTTGAAAAATATTCATATTCTAAAATGTGTTTAAATAAATATAACTAATCCATATGTCTACAGAGGAAAAGCACGTATGTGTGTAATGCCAAATTTAGTTAAACATACCTGGATAAGTGATAATGCTGATGCATTAGTCCCATCTCTCAGCAGACTTTGGTAAACCTGTTTTGCTGCCTGCAGCGGTCTGAACCTCATAAAAACACCAAATACTAATAATTCTCAATTGAGGTAAGAAGAATATCATAGCTATATGTTATGCTCTAACCTGAATGGATCCACGAGATTCCTCAAATTCAGCATAAGCATATCTCAGCATCTCAGAATCTAAACACGTAGAGGAAAATGAAACTTAAGAGTTAAGAAGGCATTAAGAAAAGTCCTACCTTGCAAGATACCAAAGACAGAAGCAAAGCAGTACTCTCAATATTTATTAAACATTATGCACGAAAATACACAACTCTAGTCGGAATGCAACAGATTAACACACCACGTTAACAAGTATGTATTTTATTCAGCAGAATAGTGGTAGGACTAAATACCGGGTAAAGGTTTTAAAGATTGCTGGAGAACTTTCATTGTGGAGTCTAGTGAACCACACTTTGCATGCCAGGTAGCATAGTCATACCATATGTCCGGATAATGGTACAAGTACAAGAGGCACTATCATCAAGAAAAATAAAAGAAAATCCTCTTCGGTTAAGTAAATGCATAATACTGCATACAGTATACTTTAATGTATAATGCATTCCTACACACATACTAATAATATATACGGAGTAATTAATAATTACATAAAAAATAACCTTTAAAGACTAGTGTTGGATTTTACATAGGATTTTACTATTTTTTCAAGCCAAAAAATAGTGAATCTTTGGCTCCATTGCAAATGATGGAAATGGAGCCATCACAAAAGCTCAAAGAAGGGGTTTCTCAAGTGTCTTAAAATGGTTTAAGCCCTTATATAGGGGATCCCATCACACAGCCCCTTAATTACAGCATTAAATGGAAATATAAATGCTAATTTAATACGAAGTACAAGATATTTGTTACAAATGCTGCATATCTGGCTTCCATTGATGACCAGTGTGCTCAACCTTCCGAACCTTGGCGGTCGGGCTTCTGGTTAGAGCATCCGATTGAAGCCAGACTGCTCGGTTGTCTCATTGACCACCCAGTTGCTTTGTTGACTGTTCGGTTGACGGGTAATTATATCATCATCATCATTACCCCAGTGCCGCAAAGGCTCCCACCTATGGTGGGGTAAGGGGGGTCAGATTACACAGTCTTACCCCTGCACTACCTGCACTAAAGCAGGGAAGTTTCCGGATGACCCGTAGTGAAAATTGCGTCGAAAATTGCATGGATTGGCTGTTGCTTCATAACATAGAAGCGCAAACAGTTTAATGAACCATTTTGCTTTATTTCATCATCTTCCCAAGCCATAAATAGTGAGTCTTTAGCTCCATTGCAAATGATGGAAAATTGACGGGTAATTATATCCATCAACTATATTCTTAGACCGGTGCTCTAGGAGATTGGTCTAATACACAACTAAGAAAAATAAAAAATGACTTTTGAAGGGAAGGGATTTTGAAGGGAAGGGAATATGAAGAGTTGTATAGAAACTATCATTAGATATTTTCTATTGTAGGACTAACAAATAAAGATACCAAGGTCCAGATTAAGTATATAAATGATAGTTTTATCAGCAATACCTGATCATAGGCGAACACAATTCTTTTATTAGCAGAAGTAGTATCTATCCTTTGAGGATTTCCTCTGAAATAAAGGGAACCAGAACTGCGTTATGCCACTTTTGATCCGGTTAATAATAATTTAGCTTTATTAATGAATCTGATACACTGGTAATTCACTGATACGGGTAATTCAATAAGTGATGCACGACTTTCATTGTTTCAGAGTGATAGTCAGCTTTCAGTAGTTAAAAGTATTAGAGTTAAGAAATATTATGAAGACAAAAAGTCCGGTGAGTGGAAAGGAACCAAATTACATGCTAATGATGGCGAAGCTGTGTTAAGAAATGTCGAGAGTAGAACAATAGATGATAATTGATCAGAAATTACTTGAATAAATTATTAGAAGACAGTGTACATCTACAGCTTGTGTGTGTGTGTCTAATAGGGTCTAACATTTGCAATGAAAAAAATCAGAATTCAAGAAAATTCAAATCAGTCAGACTGATCACAAAGGCTATATGATCTACATATAAGTTATAGCTTGTTAGATCCAGTTCTGTCCTTAATTCATCCTATATGTGGTATTTTTTACCAATGCAAGTAAATGAAAGTTATGAAACATATAAAAGCAATAGAAAAATAATGTTTATATTGTGAAGATATGACAGCATATATAAAGCAGATTTCACTGATGTAATATTTTCATATTAGACATTGGTGAGGCAAGAAGCCACAAGTGTATATTCTCTGTATGTTCCCTGCACACAAATCATACCATAAATGAAGCTTCCAACCAAACTACATCTCAGATGCTTAAAGCCTTAAAACAGCCCCATTCTTTTTTTTTAATCAAAATATAAGGTTTTATTAATAAAATGATAGAGAGCAAGAAGAACCTGGGCGGGAACGGGATTGGGCTCACTTCCGTGGGCCGGTTCTGGGCTAGGGATTATAGTTTTATTTATTTATAAAATTTATCGTTATGTTTTAGTTGGGCCTATTAGTAGTAGAGTGGTTAGTTAAGTTAAATTGGGCTTAATTAGGGTTTAAGTAATTTGGGCTTGATTAGGGTTTTCTTGTAGAAGCTATTTATACCCCTTGCTAGGGTTCATTCTGATTATCGAGGAATAAAAGTTGGTTTAGCCTTTTGGCTCTGGGCAACGGTATTTATTTATCGTTGATTATCTGGGCAACGGTTCACCCCGTTGATTTTATTTTTCTGCTACACATCAATTGGTCCGACCTGCCGGATCCCGTTTCCGCCGAAATGACTAGATCTAACACGGAGCGTTTGACGGAGGTGGAGGCCGAACAGGCCTCGATGAACCAGAAACTTGATGCACTGAGTGCGCAACTGGGTGAGATCGCAGCCGCCCTGGCTGCGCTCACGACGGCAGGCGCAACTGGAGGGAAGGCGACAGCGGCGTCCGGGGCTTCGGCGGCGGCGATGACGTCGCAAATCGAGACGGCGGCCACCTTCAGCAGCGGCGGCGACTTCGAAGACCAGGGCGGCTTCGCCGCTTCTGGGCGACGTCCGCGAGTCACGCAAGAGGCGTTGCTTCCTTCGTTTGACGGGGCGGATCCCATTGGTTGGCTTGCTAGGGCAGAGCAGCAATTTGAACTGAGTTTTACGCCGCCAGAGAGGAAGGTACCAGCGGCTGTAGTCGCCATGGATGGAGCAGCCTTGTACTGGGTAACGTGGTTAAGGAAGCGGAAACCTAGCATGATGTGGGAAGAGTTTACACAGGCACTGGTGGCGAGGTTTGACACACGGTTTACGGGCAGTCGTTTCGAGCGATTGTCTGGGGTCAAGCAGACAGGGACGGTGGAGGAGTATACCTCGATCTTTGTCCAGTTGGCGAGTCAGGTTCCTGGGTTATCTGACGATCATTACCTCGGGTATTTTATGAATGGACTAAAGGGACCAGTTCGGGGTTCGTTGCGGTTGTTGCGCCCGAATAGCTTGGAGACAACCATGGAATTAGCTCGTGATGTGGAGTACAATTTGTCCGTCCAGCGTGAAGGAAGTGACAACCAGGATTATAATCCTTCAGGTGTACGTTCCAGTAGCTTTTTAAGGCCAAACACGAGCCCTCCGTTGACTGCCAGTGGTGACAACCTACAGGAATCAAGTGGCAGCTTCCCGAAGGATAGTGGACAACCCCCGAGGACAAAGTCAGGACTGTCCGGGCAGCCTACGACACGTTCTCAGTTCACTCGACTTCCGCCAAAGGAGTTCGCAGAATTGAGGGTTAAAGGATTATGCTTTAGGTGTAAGAAACCATTTACACCAGGGCATGACTGCCCCTTTAAGCAGTTGCGGGTAATGATAGCTGAGGAGGATGAGGAGTTGGACCTCCTGCAACATGAGTATTGTGAAATAACCGGTCGGGAAAAGGTTCCGGAAGGCGATGAAGGATATTTTCCAGTCTATTCCATGGTTGGAAATTTCAGTCCTCGACCAGTGAAATTACAACCTTGAGGACAAGGTTATTTGAAGGGGGGTGGATTGATAGAGAGCAAGAAGAACCTGGGCGGGAACGGGATTGGGCTCACTTCTGTGGGCCGGTTCTGGGCTAGGGATTATAGTTTTATTTATTTATAAAATTTATCGTTATGTTTTAGTTGGGCCTATTAGTAGTAGAGTGGTTAGTTAAGTTAAATTGGGCTTAATTAGGGTTTAAGTAATTTGGGCTTGATTAGGGTTTTCTTGTAGAAGCTATTTATACCCCTTGCTAGGGTTCATTCTGATTATCGAGGAATAAAAGTTGGTTTAGCCTTTTGGCTCTGGGCAACGGTATTTATTTATCGTTGATTATCTGGGCAACGGTTCACCCCGTTGATTTTATTTTTCTGCTACACATCATAAAACTAAACAAGTACAAGCGCCAGTGAAAGAAGAGAAACTAGAGAAACAAAAGCATTTGAAAAAGTAAAAACGCTAAAGAAAGAAACAAAGGAAACAGCCCCATTCTTAGCAAAGGAAAACACAGTAATACACATAGATAAGTTCTACTAAAACAATGCAAGGAAAATGTGTATTACTTCTCAAATGCTAGGAACTTTTTCCATGCAATCCACTGCATGTCTTCCTGCAAAAGTATTAAGTAAAGCACACTTAGCAAAATAAAGGAGAAGGGTTCTAAAGTTTATAAGCAATTCGAAAGTGATTGCATGGTGAGTTCCGATCTTTAGTTCTCCTGCTATTAGATGTCCTTAAATAGAAGCAACAAATTGCAAGTCTGTGCACTCATCAGGCATATCAAATCCACCAAGTTTATGGATTTTTCGTGTTTGGTTTTTAGCTTTGTTGAAATTGAAGGATTTCCCGAAAATGAAGCAAGCAGTGAGAAGGTGAGCAAATCTTTTCTGGGAAAAATAACACCAAGCAGAAAAAGAAGTGGAGGACAATTTGACACACACAAACATATAATTATATATGTGCTGTGAGAAATTGCCTTTGGAGAACCGCAAGGGGGCACAGCGAGCATATTCCAGTCAATCTCATCAACATACTTCTTCATCTCTCTGTAAACAGCTCTTGCACTGTTGTATTTTGGCTGGTATTCAGAAAGAAGACCTTTTGCCTGCATAAATTTTTACAATCAATTTCAACCCTCAGAAGACTGTCATGTACTAAAATTTCACAGCTAGGAGATAACTGTGTCAAGATAACCAACCAGAGAACGGCTAATTGAGTTTTCAAAGTTCTCGTAATCTCTCCACAGTTGTTCAACATGATGTGTTGGTGTAACAATAGCTCTTTGGTATGCTTTTCTTACTGCAGTCATTCTTTGAGATTCTTCTTGTACAGAATGAGCCTGTGACATCATCATATGATTGCTAAATAAACTAAAATAACGATTTTATTAGCAAATTATATACATGTCAAAGTACTTGGCATACAGGCAAGGACTTCAAAAATGCAATATAGTCCATCCAAACAGGACCTGAGGCAATGTCTGTTCCTGTTAGTTCAAGGCATCCGATGTTAGACACGTAGACATGAAATATAATGCACTTTAGCAAGTAGAAACAAGAGCATAAATCAGTATCACACCAAGGAATGCCATTTTTACATTAAGTATATGTTTGGTTGAACTACATAAACCATGAAATGCTAGATAATAGATGAAGACTAAATGGGGGTTGATGATGATAAAATGCAAGATGAAATGTATAAACATGTTTGGCAAAACTAGATTAAATGGTGGATGAAAATACAAACTGGGCTAAAAGAGTAGTGTATGATGAAAGAGGAACATTATTGGAATTCACATGAAAACAGGAGGGCGTAGATAGGATTATGGAATAGGAAAGACGGAAAAAATAGATCAGCTCAAAAGCTACTTGTATTGTTGCATCTGCTTTTCCTTTCTCTCTCTTTGAAATACGGAGTATCAAATAAAATTCTTGCTAAACACACACTAAATGTGTTTAACTATATCCTACTATCTCTATGAATTTTCCCAATCAATATACTGATACCACTCATAATTTTTTTGTTAACATTTCCAGCACTTCAAAATTCAAATTGAAAATTCGTGATATCCAAACTATCTTCAATTAAGATAGATGTAATGGAGAAGTCCTACAAATTAATATGGACTTTTTATTCTAAATTGTGAAGCCCAACTTGCTATTCTTCCTACTTAATAGGAATGATACAAAAAGTAGGCCAAAGACCGTTAAAACATAACTGCATCATCACAATGTAATGTTTAACTAGCACTTAGTATCTATTACCATGTAACAATAATAATGACACATACCAACATAGTCAAGCGTGAACTCAAAAGCTTTTCTCGTCTCTTCGTGACCCTCAGTTCCCCTCTTATCATTGACCTTCCTGATAAAACGGATATAACACCGCCTGGAAAGAAAACATTCAGAATGCAGATACTTCAGAAGATAGTGGCCCAATAAGCAAAAAAAAAAAAAAAACATTTGCAAGGAACTTGGACTGGTGAACATACCAAAGAGGAACTTGTAGACAAGTGTATAGGCAGCGACTAAAAATTTGCTTGATAGCGTCATCATTATTCACAGCCATGTGTGCCTCAACATACTGCTTCCAAAATTTTGCCTGGGAAGAAAAGAAATTCAAAATAGCCATTCATTCAGCGCGTATATTACTTACCCTGGAGCATTGTTATTTTCTATACCACATGAAATACGGAAGCAGGTACTGAAGGAGAAGAAGTTTAGATTCTCACAGCAGTAGGATAAGTAGAGAGAAGTTGCTCATAGATCGGAACTGCCTCCGAAATAGGTAAGCGCTGAAAAAATAAACGGTGATACAATTCAAAATTCCAATTCCATAAAACCTAGGGAAATACGAGAATGGCAATAAAAACCCCGGAAATACCATTGCTTCATTCGCGAGAATCTCTGCAGCTCCAGTATTGTACTTACTTTCTGCCATTGTTGAACAAGAATTATTCGTGTCTTCTTCCCGGAATGATCTCCCCAATTGAGATGAAAGACAGAGGCTATGTTTGTCAGGTTATTATATGAATCAGTGCCGTTGATGAATTCGTCCTACCACTTTCCCGGCACAAATCGGTGCAGTTGATGAACTGATATATTTCCACGATGTTATTAAAATTAGAAATTTTGGACTCTTAATTTAATGCACCGGATTAAATAGGGTTAAAAATGAGAAAGAGGATGGAGGAGTGTATCTGGAGGGTGGGTTAACAAGAAAAAAAGGAAAGATTTTTCATCATATATTAACTTTGTCTCACTCAACTTTGTCAAGTTGATGTTAGATGGGAAATTAGAATAGTAAAATTTGTGTGGTTTAGGTTTATGCAGAAGAGAGATAAATGAATAGAGCCACAAAACATTGTTTTAAAAGAAAAGTGGCAAAGTTTTTTGGTACAAACAAAAAAAAAGTTGACAAAGTCCAATGGGACGGAGGGAGTATAGAATATGACATCACCACCATAATACCTCAAATTTTTTAAAACTGTCATAGTTTTTATGAACTCGTTTGGTGACCTCTTTTTTCAGCTTATCAAGTTTATGAGCCAGTATTTTCGTCAAACACATAATTTTTTATTTCGCGCGCAGAATTATGTAATATAAGCAGAAAAAGTGAGGTTGAAGTTACTTTTCTGGCTGTATTGGCTGAAGTTAGTGTAGATGATGGTTTTAACTATTTTTTCATTTTATTTTTTATTTTTTTATTAATAAAATATATTTTAAATGTATTTTTTTCATGAATCAACAGAATCAGCCAATACACCCACTTCAACCAGAACTTCATAAATTTCAGCTGAATCAGCCAATTCGGCGAAATTTAGTGTTACCAAACGAGCTCTTTATTTTTTCTCCAAATTTTTCAATGAATAGGAGTAACAAAGTTCTTAGTTTTTATAATCTTTCATATAACACCAATATTACTTATATAAAATGTAAAAAACATTGAAATTTTAACTGTTGAAGTTTCCTTGAATTTAATAAAATACAACGAAACACAAATTTTTAATCCATGGAGCCTCCAAAAACTAACTGAGTATTACATGACATATTTTATTTCTTATTAAAACTGATAAAAGTAAAAAAATAAAAGTAACAATTGTTGTAATGAAATTAAAAATTTTTACATCGAATGTAACTATCAAACATGAATGAAACTACAAATATATGTTTTCTCCCGATCGAGAAAAGGTTTCATATGCCCCAACATGGAGTGCAATCAAACACCTCGGTGTGTCACACGTTTTATTGGCTTTATCCTATAGTATTGAAATTTTTCTAACCATATGGACCAATCATATGAATTGTAGACATGTTATCTTTACTTATAAGTGGGTTATCAATGTATTGACCCTTTTTATATTTTTTTCAAAGTATTGTTGTGCAAATGGTTGTTTATTTCCGTTTAATTAATTTCTAGTTCAATTAAGGTCAAATTCATGTTAAATTTCACAAAGTACAATCATATACTCCGTATTCGATTGTCTGCATCTAGTAATGATTGAATTCTTTTTAAAATAGTTACTTATTTACTAATGGATAGATTTATTTAAATTGTCTTTTTTATGGATAGATGTAATAGAGTTAAATGAATGCATTTTTATTTTATTTTGTAACTAATTACCAATAACAATTCCTGTCCCGCATCATTACACTTTGTTAACTTTATTTATGCAACTGACTCAAAAAATTGGTTGTTTCCATTTAAAGTATTAAGTTTGTGGGTAAATTATTCTTTCCTGCACAAATCTCAATTGTATAATGCATGAGAAATGTGTCTGTTAACTAATTATTATGTATGTAAGTGTTTCTAATAATTTTATTTATATGTAATGTCTTTATGCTCACTTTTCTAATTTATATTTGTAACTTACAATCATTAATTAGGTTTGTACTTAATCATTGATTGTTATTAACTATTGACATATTAAATAATGTTTAATTAGTTGTGACAACAATTTTTTACTTCTTTTGGCTCCAAATAGATTTATGTTTGGATCTCCACCATAGTCTCTTTATATATATATATATATATATATATATATATGTGTGTGTGTGTGTGTGTGTGTGTGTGTGTGTGTGTGTGTGTATAAAGATATCAATTAAACATAATTAATAATAGTAAATTTTTCAATTATGCAGCCTAAAATGCTCATCTAAAACTATAAATTAAATGGAGTATTAAAATACACATGATTGTTGTTATTAAGGAAGATAAAAAACTGCCTATTAATAAATAATTTAATAGTTATAAATAGATATGAAAAAAACATTTGAAATATTCTCAATTTTCCAACACGTTTCACTTTGCATTTCTTAAACTATGAACATTCTCCCTCTTGTAGTCATTCAACCATTTCACATAGTGGGCTGGTAACTTCCTTGCCACCTTATTCACGAAAAATTCATGTGATGGGATATGTAGCAGAGTAAGTTTAATGTCATCATATCTTTCAGTCCTAGGGTCCTAATTGTTATATTTCACCAAGACATTGACAACATTCGTTATTTTATCACTTATTGCACCTTCAAAGTATTTCTTCCACATGCTTCCACTAAACTTTGGCTTCACCCTAGCCATCTACCTTTGGCTTCACCCTAGCCATTTAAAGCTCTAGGAACATGCACAATTCTCCCTCGCAGAATATTATTGATTGTTCCGTATATGTCATCTACCTTTGGCTTCACCCTAGCCATTTGAGTTATATTATCTGTTTCTTTCCCAACGTTGTTTGGAGATATTATTTTCGGTAGCAAAGTATCATCTGCCAGATGCATATTTCCCATCACTTTTGGTCGGACGTTCTTGTGCGCTAAGAAGAGATTTGCACTAAACTCTTCAATCAGGAAGATGAGATCGTTTGGATTGCTTTCTTTCCGGTGGCTGGTGAAACTGAAACAAATTCTACAGTTGGTTCCTTACCGGTGGCTAGGGTTGTAAACGAATCAAATAATTTGTGCTCGATTCGCGATTCGAAATCATATAAGACGATTCGAATTCGGAAATTTAAAATACAAATAAGAATATTAAATTTGATTCGAGTTATTATCAAATACAAATAAGAATATCAGTGTGTTCGATTCGAATATTAATCAAATATATTTGATTAATAATAATTGTAATATTAATGTCAATATTAATAATAGTAGTAGTAATAATAAGATAGCAACACCCTCAAAGTGTAACCCATATATACACTTTTGCATACAAATTCCAAACAACTTCTATCGCAAAAAAGGTTTGGTGAATTGCCTTTTTTGGTTGGCTTTTTATTCCAAACAGCTAAAATGCAAAATGCCAACAAAAGCAGCGTTTAGGTAATGGTTGTTCAACAATGTACCGATCATTCCCATTCTACCCGGTGCTTTCTTCTCCTCTTGATCTGTTTCCACAACTTCTATCGCAGGTATTTCAGGCCTCCCTTTTTAGCTCTACAACTTCTATCGCAGTCTAACGCAAGGAGGAAAGAAAGTCAATTGAAAAAAAACAAGCAGCCCATTGATTCTTTTTTAGCAACGTAGAGATTCTTGTTTTAATGTTTAGCCTATTCTTCTTTTAGCTCCAATTAGTTTTGTAGCAGGAAAGTCGTTTGAAAAACTTTAGGAAGTTTTGTGGGTTTAATACTTTTTATGTTAAAATAATAATAATAACAATATGAATAACAAGGAGTTCAATAATAATAATAATAGTAATAATAACAGCAACAATAATAATAATAAAATAATAATAATAATATACAAATGGATAAGTACCACAAATGATCGTACATAATTGCTTGAAGGATGTAAAACAAAAGTTTACATTTTAAAATCACAAAAACGCTTTAGGCAATTGTATTAATTAAATTAACCGATAAAATTAATTGATGCCCTCAATAGTCATTTAACAAGTTATCAACTAATTGTAAACAACCATCTAACCAAACAACAATTTACGAACGGCTAATACTATCAGTTAATAAAAAACAGCCAACAGAATCTGCTGCAATCAATCCGTCAACACAATCAGCCAACAGCTATCAGCAGCAGCTATTTGCCAAACATCCCCTTAGTCGTGAACAAGGTACTTCTTCTCCATAAATATTGACTCCATAGTACTGATTGTGTCATACACCGCAACCTCTTAAAAAGGATGGTACCCCACTGCAATACTTGAGATTAGTTTAAAGGGATAAATATTACTACTCATACTAACAAGACACATCTTCTATTAAGAAAGCTCATCAGCTAAGAACTCCGAGTTAAACGTGCTTGTATGGGAGTAGTCTTGAGATGGGTGACCCCCTAAGAAGTTTCTTAGGACGAGCACGAATGAAGACAAAGTATGCGTTTTAAGGCGTGTGGTGGTTTGTGGGGACAGTACTTGAGGTTAGTGGTACATATGTTGTAATATTCACAATTTTATTCAAATGAATCATGTTAAAAATATAAATGCAATTTGCTATTGTTATCGCCAAATTTCTTTTCATATAGGTAGAGTACAAACATAACAAATACAAATATGACGTATTAGCTAACTTTGTTATAATGAATAGGGTTGGGTTCGGTTCAGGTACCTAACTGATTAAGGTTAACCCGAAACCAAACCGTTATTTCGGTTATCCAAATAACCATAAAAATTAACCGACTTCCAATATAAATAAACAAAATATTGAACTTTTCAATACACTAAACCCAAATTTTCAAGAGCACAAGCCCAATGTCACTTTGCCTAACAATCTCATGGATCGTGAGGACTTACATGGTTAGTTGCTAGAGAAAGCATCCAACATATAGATGCTTTTGATGAGGAAACTCTCTTGTTTATCCGGTGTGGGACAAAGAGTTGTGAAAACAAAATGAAAAACTGGGCTTTGAATAAAAGAACAAAAGCCCTGCGATTCAAACTCAGAACGTCATTGACACTAACTTGCTTGGCAACCATCCGACTGCAAAGCATCGTTTGCTTCTTCTAGACTGCATTTTATTTTATATACATTTAACTATAAAATTTATTATAATTATTATTAATAAAATGTCGGTTCGGTTCGGTTCAAAACGATATATTGGCACCATAAACCGATTCTGAACCGTTTTTTTTGGGTCCCAATTTTCGGGTCTCAAATTATATCGGTTCGGTTCGGCTTGTTTTCAAAACGGTTCATTTTTTTCGGTTCGGTTTTCGTTTTTTCGGTCCAAAATGCCAGCCCTAATAATGAATGTATAAAATGTGTAAAAGTTTGTATGATATATGTTAAATTGTATTTTTCATGTCTAAATTATTTATTTATATCCTAAAGATGAAGAGTGAAAAAATAAAAAGTATTTATATATATTACAAGTTGTTCGGTGTTCGGTTCGGTTTACGATTTTTCGGTTATAAACCAAACCAAACCATTTGGTTTGAGCAAAATGCTACCAAAAGGTTTATTTAAGTAAAACCAAATCAAACCAAATAAAACCAAACCGCCAATTTTCGGTTCGGTTTATCCGGTCAAACCAAACTATTTTGTAGTTGACCATTTCAATTGTAATCGTATCATTGGTTTCAGCCCGATTCGGAAAATAAAAACACGGACCACAGCACCACACAACAGTTCACTATATCGGGTCGGCAGGTGACCCGGGACCCACTTTTCTCTTTTGGCCGGTTTCCCACCTTTGGAAAATAAAAATACGGACCATAAAACAGTTCACTATATCGGGTCGACGGGTGACCCGGGACGCACTTTTCTCTTTTGGCCGGTTTCCCACCGTCACAGGTCATTCATCGCCGAGCAAATGTTACTGAGCAGCCATACAGGAACGCCGCTTACCCTATGTGCCTATTCTTCCTGTTATTTTCATCAAGATAGATCATCAAAATCTTCCATGCGCGCTGCATCCCATTTTCTCAACACTTTCTCCTCCGTTTTCAGCGGCCGTTGGGACCTTCTCAGCCTCTTCTCCACGGCATCTCTTCTCCGGAGCTCCTCAGCAACGTCTCATACTCTTCGATTCTACCCTCGTCGCCCGCTGTACTCCTCTACGCGTCTCTCGTATCCTATTTCGGCTCGTACTTTTTTCGAACAGTTAGTTTACGAGTCCGAGGAATCGTTCAACCATGAAGGTGAGATGTCCAGCAGTAGCAATGAGAGGGAAAGTTTCCGTTTTGATAGCTCCTATGACTCTACCGAATTGAAGCGAGATGATTCGCCGGCTTTTGATGTCCAGAAGCTTGAAGACGTTCCAGAAAAGTGGCGTAGGTCAAGACTGGCCTGGCTGTGCAAGGAGCTTCCTGCACAAAAGCAAAACACTTTGGTTCGGATTCTCAATGCTCAGAGGAAGTGGCTCAGACAAGAAGATGCTACTTATGTCGTGCTTCATTGTCTGAGAATTCGTGAAAATGAGACTGCTTTCAGAGTAAGAACTACCTTATCAACATTATGGTGGAATCAACTATATTGAGTCTTCTTCTTTTTATGGTTGCTTGGAAGAGTTCAGCAGTTTCAAACTTTCAAATGTTAATATTTATTACCCTAATATTTTTGAAGACTTGGGATGTTTTTAATTGGATAAGAATTTTCTGTTGTGGGCTGATATGGTCTAGTCTTTTTAAGTTTGATATGATCTGGTCTGATCTATTCTGGTAGCCATCTGTTGTACGTGTATTTTACAACTGTCTAGTCTGACCTGGTATGATTTGGTCTGGTCTATTCTGTTTAAATTTGGGTTGATCTAGCCTTATTGAGACTTAAACCAGTCCAATTAAAACATCATTAGTTTGGAGATGATCAAAGTGTCATTATATTGTTCATGCACCAATGCAACTTAAAAGTATCAAACATGTTTTGTTGCTAATTCTTTAGTTCTACACATAACTGCAATAGACAAATCTCCAAAGAAAAATTAATTAACTCTTCCATTTTACATTTGAAGTTACCTTTAAAAGCAAGAGCTAGTAACTTGATAAAGTTACTTCTGGGTGAGGCAATTAGGGTAAATCCTTCGCACTGTGATTATGTGTATTTAGCTACCTTTGAAGGAATGACCGACCCCTAAATCTTTTTGGACTAAGGCTTGGATGTTGTTGTTGTAGTTACCTTTGAAGGAATGAATGAGATGAATTAATAGAGATAGCTAGTTATCTACATGGCTGATCAGTGTCACCATGTAAGGATTTATTTCTATGTGTTTTAAGTTTTAACTTTTATGGGTTCCCGTATCATCTATCATGTGTATTATTTTGTTGAATTCCTTATTCTTGTCAAAAATATAATTCATGGGTTTGGATTTGGATATATGGATGAATGCCTTTAATTATATTTATGAGAGATATAATGCCAAAAGAAGATGAAGGAAGTATATGGTCAAACAAACAAGATGGTTGAAATATCTACTGTGCTCCATATTTCAGGTATACAAATGGACGATGATGCAACATTGGTATCAATTTGATTTCTGTCTAACTACAAGGCTAGCAGATTATTTGGGTAAGGAGCGTAAACACTTGAAATGCCGCGAGGTTTATGATGACATACTTAATCAAGGACGAGTGCCTGCCGCGTCAACTTTCCATATTTTAATTGTTGCTTATCTTAGTTCATCCGGTCAATCAGTGGTTGAAGAAGCATTTGGAATTTACAGCCGCATGATCCAATTGGGAGGCTATAAGCCTCTCCTTAGCTTGCACAATTCCCTGTTCAAAGCTCTAATAGGAAAAGCAGGGGGCTCTTTTGCAGAAACTCTTAAACAAGCAGAGTTCGTTTATCAAAACTTGACTTCCTTTGGCCTTCATATACACAAGGATATCTACGGTGGCCTTATATGGCTCCACAGTTTTCAAGATTCAATTGACAAAGATAGAATTGCTTCACTGAGAGAAGAGATGTGTTTGAGAGGCATCGAAGAGGGCACTGATGTACTTTTGTCAGTCATGAGAGCTTGCTCAAAGGATGGAGATGTGGTGGAAGCCGAAAGGACTTGGACGAAACTTCTTTCCTCTGATAATCGTACTCCTTCACCACAAGCCTTTGTGTTTAAAATGGTGACTTATGCAAAGATCGGAGAGCATATGAAAGCTTTGGAGATATTTAGGGGAATGCAAGAGATGTTGAGTTCCACTCCCGCCATAGCATTTCATAGAATTATAGAGATATTGTCAAAAGCTCAAGAGATAGAACTGGCAGAATCAGTCTTTCAAGAGTTCGTTGACAGTGGGACGTGCCCGCTCCGGCCTTCATTTGTACATCTCATGCAGATGTACTCTTTTTCTAGACGACATGAGAAGCTGGAGTCCACTTTCTTTAATTGTCTCGAAAAAAGCCACCCAAATCGGACTGTCTTCAGCATCTACCTGGACTCATTGGTTCAGAATGGGGATATTGAAAAGGCCGAAGAAGTATTCAATCAGATGGTTGAGAACACTTCTATTGGTGTAAATGCTCGGTGCTGTAATAGCATACTGAGATGTTATCTCTCTCGCGGGGAGCATATCAAAGCAGAAAAGGTGTACCGGTTAATGCGCCTGAAGAAATATGATACTGATCCTTCCTTGATAGAAAAGCTGAATTTTGTTCTAAGTTTGCGCGAGGTGGATGTCAAAGAACCAATAAGGCAGAAACTCAGTATAGAACAACGAGAGGTTATGGTGGGGTTGTTGTTGGGTGGTTTGCAAATCAAATCGGATGTGGAGGATAAGAAACATTTAATCCATTTCCAGTTTAACAAAAACTTGAAACACCATTCTGTTTTAAGGAGGCATGTGTATGATAAGTATCGTGAGTGGTTAGCTTGTTTAGATAAACTGGCTGATGATGAAGATGATGTTCCATGGGTATTTGCTACCATTCCACATTCTTATTTTGGTTTTTATGCCAACCAGTTCTGGAAAAACGGTATTCCTACTATTCCCAAACTAATCCATAGATGGTTGTCGCCTCGAGTTCTTGCTTATTGGTACATGTACTCAGGGTATAGAACATCATCAGGTGATATTCTGTTGAGATTGCAAGGAAGCAAAGATGGTGTTGAAAATATTGTGAAGACATTAAAGGCAAAATCTTTAGATTGCAGAGTGAGGAAGAAGGGAGGTGTGTTTTGGGTAGGCTTTATTGGAGATAGGTCTGGATGGTTCTGGAAACTTGTTGAGCCCTTTATTCTTGATGATCTAAAAGGTTTCTTGAAATCAGAAGGAGGCAACCAATCAGGTGATTGCGAAGGAGTTCAACCCATTGCAAGTTGGTGTGAATATGATGAGAAGCCTTTTAGTTCCAGTGATGATGAGGTGTGAATGGTTTGGATTCTCGCCACTGCAGGTTAAGTTTGTGTCTGGGAAAAAAGGCTGCATCACCATACAAGTGTGCAGAGGTTTAGAAGCATTTGGTTTACTTACTACAGTTGAAATGAATATATCATGTATTATTATTTCAAAAAATTCAGCAGATTTGATCATTTGAGCAAAAGTAATTGGTAGTTTTTAATTTTAATTTATTAATTTCTGCATGTATGATTCTTTTTCTTTTTTCCCTCCAGCCTTGAAAGTATTTTCTGTTCATTTAAGAAAAAAGTGCGGTTGTCTTTTTCTCCAAAACCAAATGTTATCAAACAATCTCTACTTTATAGAAATTAAAAGGAGATTAAAGAAGTAAAGACAGAGTATCAAATTACCAAAATGCTTGGTGTACACGCTGGGTTACACTCTATTTGTTTACCTTTCCCACAGACAAAAAAAGTACAAATACAACCGCAAACAGATTTATCAAGGCACATTCCTTACAGGTGAATTGCAAATAGTTCCTATTTGTCCTATTATAATGATAGTCTTAAACTGTTGTGTTTTTAAGACAAATTCTGAATACATGACTCTCTCGGGGGGAACTCAGAAACAATGAGCATAGCCAATGTTAGCCCTTCCATATGGTTGGTATATTGATTCCTTCTTTTCCCTTTCGCCTGACTCCGATTATTATCACAGTTTGCAATTCTCTTTCTTTCAGTTGCGCTGCTGAAACACTCAACACGCTGATGTTTGCTCAACGGGCACAACTCATTCAGAACAATGTATGCACTAGTTTTTTAAATTTTAATGACAATAAATGTTACTTTGCCTGAAACATGTGTCATTTAGTTTACCTTTTTTTCCTTTCCATTTCGAAAAAAATCACAAAGGCTGTTGTGAATGAAGACTCATCAGCAGATATTGTGGCATTGCAATATCAGATAAGGCTTTTGAAGGTGGTTAAAAGATCTTTGTTCATTTAGGAATTATTTGGGAATAAATCAATTCATAAACTAAACTGACTGTGTGGCTGCTCGAAACAGAAGGAGCTCTATTTGTTAAGATGTCAGAACATTTCCTGCTCTTTGTCATTTGATGCAGCAGGTAATGGACACCAAAGGCAGGATGAGTCCTGCAACATTCTGACAGCATCAGCTCAACAGGTGCCAATATTTTGTTTAATTATTTTTAAATCTTTAACCGCAAAGCAATTATCTGTATTTGCCTGTAATCTGCTTTTTCTTTTTCTTCCATTATCTATGTAGTTGAAATCACTGCAAACTACACTAGCTGGAGCTTTGAGAAGGGAACAGATGGCTGAATCATCTATCAGACACTTTGAAGCAGAAATCGAGCAACTGAACCGCCTGGTATGCATCCTATTGATCACTGTATATATTTGCATGTCAGGGTTAATAATGGCAAGGTTATGTGCCCTTTCTTAATAAATAAATCTGTTTCGGTTCAGGTTTCCCAGAGTGAGGAAGACACCAGGCCCACAAAGATGATGCTTAAATTTAGGGAAGACAAAATTTATAGGATGGAGTCTCTTCGCAATGGATTAATACCATCTGATGCATATCTGCTGGAAGAAAACTGTGCACTTGCTGACGAACTCAAGTTGGTTCGGGCTATAGTACACAAAAATCCTGAAGTAGCTCGCTTCGCCCGTGAAAATATTAAGCTTTTGGAAAAGCTCAGAAGGTATACATTTGAAATACTGAAAATAGTCTGATTTTCTCCTTGTTTCATTTATTTCCACCCCCTCTCAAGTTTCTTTTTCTTGAATTAGTTAGATTTCAAGATTTTTATAAAGATGGGGAGAAAAATGCAGGTCAAATCTGAACACATGCTTGGAGAAGAATGCAGAACTCAGAAGGTAAAATTTCTTTTGAATCCTCTCTCTACAATGGTTTTGCCATATCAAATGCAGATTCAATTTGAGTTTTCAACTGTCTGCAGAGAAATTGATGACGTGCGTGCTACACTTGGGAAGAGGGGATCTTCAGTTTTAGTTAGTGGTGCTGAATTTATAAAGGTACTTTTCCCAAGGGAAGTTATGAGAACAGAACTCATCAAGAGATTCAAGACAAAAAAGTAGTATAATAATTTACACCGCTCATTTGCAACAATACTTAAGATACAATTTAGTTTAAGATGCTGCACTTTAAGTTTTGATAGGTGACAAAATAACGATTTTTAGGAATCTATATCAGAATCTCCTCCTCTGAACAACTACAAATCCGTGGTTATAGCTCAGGAAGAGAAGCCAAACATAAGCTTTGATAAAGTGGTTCTTAGCTTGTCAGAAAAGATCATTGCTTGCAATTAGGAGTTGGTCATTTCAAAAGTTCTCCTTCAAGAAGAAAAGTCATCACAGAATGAGGTGGAGGAAAGGGCACTGTCTTGGAAAAGTGATCAGAGTTATCAAAAAATCACTCTGTTAGTAAGAAACCAATATAAAGATGTCCAGGAAGAACTTGAGGAAGCAAAGTCCATCATTGAGGCTCTTGAGTCTCAACAAATCGAAGCAATTAATGAGCCTGACTGCCGGAGGATCTCGGAAACAGTAACAATTGCTATGCAGAACTTCTGCACAAACAGGAACTTGAAATCTCTTCTTTAAAGGGGAAAGCCTTTTTTCAAGATCTCTCATCCTTTAAAGTCATAGAAAGTGAGTATTCTCCTTTGCAAGCCAAGCTCCAAAAGATGGAAAATTCTCTTGAGAAGGCAAGAACACTGAACACATGGTACCAAAGTGACAATGCGTTACAAGCATCAAATATAGAAGAAATGGATGAAATGCGAAGGCAAGTCGAGGGTGAAATTGCTGAAGTGATTCTTTTGCCTTCAAGAAGAACTTTCTCTTCTTCAACAAGAGTTCCAGGCCAGTCAATTGAAGCAAATGAATAGTCATGATAGGTTGATTCAATTACAGTTAGAAATTAAAGAACTTGAAGGAAAAAATAATCTGATCATTGAGGATAACAGAATATTGAGAGGAGCTTATGAAGAGAAAGATAGAGTATCAAATTCTGCTTGAAGAACTGGAGCAAGTAGACAAAGAGATGGCACAAAATCTTGGTGGGGGACAAGCTTCCCTAGAAGATGCATCTGATCAACTTGATTTAATAACCACTTCATTTCCACAAAAACAAGCAAGTCGGGTATCAGATCATTTTGGGAGGATGGGGAAATACATTTTCGAAAAGGATTCTTCATGACACTCTTAACAAAAGAAATGATGTTGAATCCATGCTGAGGTTGATAGGAACCGGCCAATTTACTGTATAAGTCCTGAAGCTATTACAATGGCAGACGATGGTAATTGACGAACAAAGAAAAACGGAAAGAAGAAAAGAACAGAGACACTTCGAGTAGTCTCAACACTCCCAAGTCACAGTCCAGATCCGAAGTTCTGCCTACTCTCTTATTCTACTCCACTCCTATTTATAATAAAATTCCCTTATGGGCCGGCCCAAGCTAACTAGTACCTAGCCCAAAACCCTTATTTATACAATATCACACTCCTTAGTATAATTCTACTATTATTATTATTATTGGAGGTCCATGTCCCTATCATATCTCCCCCCTTGAACAACCACCTTGTCCTCAAGGTGGGTGATAGGAAACAGCCTTGATCTTCAAATTCATCTTCATCCTGGCGCCTCTTCCTTCCCAGTACCTCCCAAATTTTTGGAACAAGAGCTTCAGCATTTGAACCTTCATCATGATCACTTCCTCAGACCTATACTTATCTAAGATTTTCACAGCCTTTCCATATGTCTCGTTGTCCGAAATCTGGACATTCACAATCTTGTCTAGACTGTCTCGTCCTTCATATTCGTCAACCATCTGTGCATATAAATTGAACCCACCATTGAATCCCTTTTCTTTGTCCGCCTCACCTAGTTTCAGAATGTTCTCTAGCCTTTTCAGGCACACAGCAGCCATTCTTGGATCTGGATATATCAAGAGATCATAGACCGGCTTGCTTCGACAAAGGTTTGACACAGTCCATGTAGCCTTTCTCGACATAGGAAGCTTTGAATGTTCATTTAACTGACTAAGGTGCTGCAACACCTGACGGACAAGATTTTCAGTCTGAATTTTGTGCATCCAGAAGCTCTCATGGATATCAGAATCTGAAACCATTACTACAACAATTACAGTTGGACCACTTCGTTCCAACACATAAACCCCACCACAGACGCCTTTCCCACAATTCACTGGTATAAGCCCCCCTGTAACCTTGAGCTTCCCAACTAAGATACCTAAACTCCTTAGAAACTGAGCTTTAATGTCAATTGTGTTTGCCCTTGCGTTACTGATAGGTTTGGACACCAGGACCCCCATATACATGACTCATAGTTTTATATGACATAGATCCCGGCGTTGCTTCATCTGGTTTATATAGAGTCCCATCAAACGTGGTACTCCCATGTTGTGCTTGTATTTGAGTTATCTCTGGTATTTCCAGTTGGAATATTTTGAGCATTGGAAAACTCATTGGGGTTGGTTGCTCACGCAGTTGCATGCTGAAACTTCCCATCAGGCAAGGCGAAAACGGAGATTCTGGAAGGTGAAAGCAACGAATCAAACATGTCAACAATCATATGCATCTGATGGTCAAGCACAACCACACGTTTTCCCATCCCCTGTGTCAATATTAGCAGTATTTCTGGAGTAAAATTCATTGCAGGGAACTGTTTAGAACAATCAAGGTGAAGTACCTTGATTCCTACCCCTTGCTCAATCACCCAAGGGGCTGTCAAACGTGCCAGTGAAGTACCTAATCCCAGCAGCTTCCTTTATTCCTACCCCTTGCTCAATCACCCCATGACCATGAGTTGAAGCATCCAGGCAGTCTCCATTAGAACCCTGCTGATACAAATGTACAACCTGTCTTTTTCTGGCATCATATTTCAACATAGACACATAAGCATATTCCTTCCCCAAAAACATGTAATGAGTGCCACAGATAGCAGAGAATGTGGGTAGGTTTGACTTCCTTTTTAATATAGAAGATAAGTGTTTGTTCTCCAGCTCCCATACCATAGGGCCTTCCATGTCGTTCCCTCCAACTTCTTTCAGCATACCATCTGTGGTCCCCATAGTTAAGAACTGTTGAATAGGGTCAAAAGGATTCCAGTACATCACACCACCACCAAAGTACTGATTATAATACATACCAATACAACCACGGATCTCTAATTCGTCTTCTGTGA